ATTATGTATATATATATAGTATATAAATATATGATGATATATATATATATAATATATATATATATACTATTATATGTACCTATGTCTATATATATCCATATCTGTATACATACATACAACATACATAATAATAACATACACACTTATATGTATGTCTATACAATCATACATACATACATACATACATAATATATATATATATATTATTATATATTATATATTATATATATATATATATATATATTCATATATATACATATGCATACATTTGCTTACAACCCAGGGGTTGTAAGCCACTTCTCGGCCCTTAGCTAAGTAAACGATCGCGTCGATCAGCAAAGGTTGAAGGTCTAATGCTATTGACAAATGATTTTTGATGAAGCCACGTCAAGGTCCGCAAGGGAGTAAATCGCGCTAGCGTCTCCGGTAACAGATAAATATACAAGTTGGGAATATATTTCAATACACTTGCTGGGTCACACGGCTTTACATCTAGCAATAACTCATGTAAACTTATTTGATCTTTTTATTCAAATAAGCGATAGCAAAACATGTAACAGTAGCTCTCGTTGACTTTGTAGTGGGATATCGTTCAACTGCGATTTCCTGCGCACTGTAACTATAATCTAATATTCATACCTTTATGATAATTTCAATTTTATTTTTAATAAACGTTTCTTTATCATCTGCTACGGAAAAACAGCCAGCCCTAGTCATCGCCGGTGAGCGAGTTTCTTCCATCGTTCAACAAAGTTATCAATTGTAACTGCATATTTCTTGAAACACGATAAAGTTGCATCCGTATATCGTATGTAAATCTTTGTAAAATCACTGTAACCTTGTAAATACTTTTGTATTTAGACGGCCATCTAATAAAGTGAGTGTTTTTTTTCTTTTTTGCCAGATCTAAACACTTATTCTGTAAACATAAACCATACCACATTATATTCTGCATTATAGAGTATGGCCTAGGCTAGTGAAGATATAGATGCTTTGCCAATGTGTTTTATGGAAATACATATTCAATACTTCCTGACTAATTATGAAAGTTTGTATATTTAGTTTCGGTTATTCTGAGTGCCCTTTATCTTAGGCTAAAATCTAATCACATTTTTTTTTTGTTTTTATCATTCCATAATTCTGGCGTTTCTATGATTATGCGCATCCACATTCGAACAGTTGTACGAGAAAATACATATTTGCTCGTTTCAGTTTTGAGCAATGGTAGCTGGGTGGTTCCAAGAGGGTGAACGGTAAAGTCCGACTTGTTTTAGGAATCGGTTCTTGGAGTTTTGCTTTTCTGATATACAAAAAAATGTTCATTAATGGGAATTCATCTCGCTCATTACTTTTATTTATCATGTATGTAACTTTTTTCAATGCACGTCTGTTTACAGTATATTTGTAGGTAAAATGAAGTTAGCACCAGCCTTTCCTGCAAAATCAGTATTTTGATTAATTATATTGGTATGTATATGCGTGAAAGCTCGGTTATTCACACTGAAGTTTAATAGTTTACGGAAAGAGGGACTGTCTAGAAAAAATAACACACACGAAATCGTATATTTTATACTTTTGATGCAAAAGAATGTTCATAAATTCCTGTTATAATGACATTTCTATAACTTGATGTATTTAGAGAGTTGGCTCTCTCCGGACGATGGTACTCAGGTAGATGAGATGCGAGAAGGGGTACCCAGAAAGACCACCCTGGCCGACCAATGCTACTAAAATCCATGAAGATTGGTGGAGATGAAATGCATCACAGAACGTCATCACAGAGAGTTGAAGTAAACGGCACCACCAAGATCGCCTCCAGTTCGCTCAGGAGTATGTTGAAGAAGGATCGAGATTACATGGGAAGTCATAAGGACAGAGACAACAACCGAGCACTTGATAAAAGATGCGAATGTGATTAACACTTGCATTTTCTTCACGGACTTGGATCAAATCGTGATAAAGATATATGTTTAGACATGACAGCGTCCAGGACGTCATATTTCATGCTCGGATTCTTTATCAATTTTTACATATGACAGACAATTTATATATGAAACGGCGATGAGTGGCCACGTGGCCGTGCTATGTGGGATGGATCTTCCTGCATAATGTTGGTTGAAACGGGGAAATGCAATTAGACAAATACGCACACACACAACATGTGTGTGTGTATATATATATATATATATATATATATATATATATATATATGTATATATATATATATATATATAATAGATATAGACTACATGTGATAGTATTTTGCACGAGAAGGGGTTCAAAATCTGTTTGAAATATAGAACCAATGATTCTAAATAGAGTTAAAAAACACACTCAGCGAATGCACACATCGATGAGGCATACGTGTATTTGCCCTAACACTTCCAGGATTGCTCCGAGATGTCTGCGGTCGCCGGGCGATGGGTCACGCCGAAGAATCGCCCACATCGAACATCGAACGGGATCCCTCCCGGAATTCCTGCTGGCGCTGCCTCGCCGT